GGTGATGGGAATAACACGGGACATAGGAAATCCCATGTAAATTTTGAAAAGATCAAATATTATCTCCCCAGATGATTTTATGCAAAAACTGTATTAGACTTTTTTGAAGAGGCGTTTTATTTGGAATAGGCATTTAAAAAGTATTTGCAAAAATTTATTTTCAAATTATTAAAAATTGATAATACGGCCCAGAGAAAGCTACAAATAAGGCTGTATTCCGTTGCAAAACCAGGCGAACCAGACCGGTAAACTACGGTAAAGAGTGGTTCCTGAAAAACATCGGTTTGATACGGAACGGTTTGGTAAAATACTGGAAACGTCAAATGTTGACGTTTTCTAAATTTCAATACCTCTATTATAAAATTTATCTTTTATGCATTTTTAATGTACCTATTCTCTGCTTTTACGTTTGCTTCTTCTTTTCAATGGAGTTTAATATTGAAAAGTACTTTATTAATAAACTGTTAAACTCGTTAGACAGCTCAAATGAAGATTTGCAGGTCCAATATTAAAACAGATCAATAATAAATAAACAAATCTAATCAATATTTATATTTTTATAGCTTACAAAACATTCACGATTACTTGTTGTCTTGTTTTTCATGTTTTCTTTAAATGTTCCTGACTTTAAGAAACAATGGCTGCATGATAAGTTTAAATGATCCTAAAAATCATTCTATTTAGTTAATGAAATTCATTTACCTTTACTGCCCACCTTCATTGCTTTTGGATGTAAATACAAAATATTATTACAAATTTTAGAAATTAAATGAGAATTTCACTCGAACTTCCAATATTTGCCTGATTTCTGTCACATAAATGACATTGATTGATAAACAAAACCAGAAAAACCAGCCTACTCGCGCTGGTTAGTTTGGTAACAGTTATAACCGAATTTTTCAGGAACCGTGTTCCGTAATAAGAAAACTTTCAGGAAACCGATAGAAACGGAACATAAAACCATAACCAAGGTAAGCAACGGAATGCACACTAAAATACCAACAAAAATATGATTTTGTCATTGTCAATTTCGTTTGTTATATTTTGTTTACAAGAATTTATGTTGTATGGAAAGGATGGTTAATTTTTTTCTAAATTGAAATGATCAGTTACAAAAGATTTGGGAGACTGAGCTGCAAACATATCTAACACCGCGGGAATACTATTTCCAGCAAAATGCCGTTTAACCATCGTAACTTTTTCAGATGTTGTTCAAATCCCAATTATTTTGTACAAAATACTCTATTTGGTACCTTTAAATTCTTGTCAAGAAAATGTGACATCAAATATAACAATGACAAAATAACATTTTTGCTGGTATTTTAACTGTATCTTAAACGAAATTCTAGACAAAAGTACAACTTTAATGTCTCTTCAAAAAAGTATAATACAACGTTTGCATAAACTTATCTGGGGAGATAATATTTGACCATTTCAAAATTTACATGGGATTTCCTATGTCCCGTGTCCCGATGCACCACACGGTATAATTTTATAGCTTAAGTGCTGGCTGAATGCTGTAAAGGCAAGTGGCCATATTTCAGAGGAAGAAGAAGAATAAGTTTATAAAATATTTACTATAACCAATGACTAAAGAATACAAGGACCAATAACATCCAAGACCAAATTGTTACCATACATCCAAACAGTGCCGTGCCACATATTTTTCTTAATTTATCTGCTTGAAGAGATGTTTATATTTTTGATAAATGTTTTGACTACGCCTATGGTGTATGACGCTTATTTAGGTGGTATCATTGTCGCTGTTAACTGAGTTTACAATTCTTCTCCATTGAGTTCTATTGTGAACTGCTTCTTCCTAATGATTCTGCATGTTAATCCCCTTTAAGTTTTCGTGGAAAATGTCCTTGTACCTTTTGAGTTGTCCACCCGGCCTCCTTTTACCGTCTACAAGCTCACCGTAAAGCAGAGATGTTGGTATGCGGTTTTCTTGCATTATGCATACGTGACCAGCCCATCTTAAGCGGGATTTTGTAACCATGACTTCAATACTTTCGCAGTTAACTCTTTCAAGGACCGATACGTTTGAGACATGATGGAACCACCGGATTCTTAAGAGTTGTCTAATGTGTCTCTGTTGCAACTTGTTTAATGCCTTCATGTGTCAGCGATACGGGAACCAGGTTTCGCTCCCATATAACATGGTGGGGATTATGATTGCTCGGTACACTGCCATTTTCGTTTTTGTACTCAAGTCATGATTGTAGAAAACCCTGTCTTTTCATTTCCAGAATGCTCTTGAGGCGCTGCTAATCCTGTGCTAAATTTCAGAGTCGATATTGGCCTTTTCCGAAATCAAACTGCCGAGGTAATTAAATTCCGCTACATATTCCAATAGTTCCTCTCCGATTTTTACAGGATTGTTATGATCTTCCGGGGGAGTGCACATGATTTTGGTTTTGTCGATGTTTAGCTTAAAAGATCGCGCACACTATACCTACACGGACCGGCACGGACCAGACCAGTAAAATCTACCGGTGAAGGTGACCGTGTTATTTAATAGAGTAGAGCACACTAGACCAGTACCAGCACGTACCGCCACAAGCCACGACCGTCAAAACAGGTCGTGTCGGTCAGGGACAAATATGACCGGCAATATTTATGCCTGGTCGTGCTGTCCGACCTAATGTGCGCACCGGCGAACCAGCACACCTCCACAAACATGCAAATATTGAAGGGTTTGTCAGTATTTCGAGTACGCTAGCTGGCTCAAGTTGCATGATGTAGGTTAGATTTCGTTTATTTTTGTTCGAACCTTTAAATCGTTTTAAATATGAATGAAAAAAAGCTTATTTTACTGGTACAAAAGTATTCAGAGCTGTGCGATACGAGCCAAGCATTTTATATATAGAGACCAAGAAAGAAAAGATGCAATATGGGAGTCGATAGCAAAAAAAAATAATCAAATTTGATTTGTGACATTCGAAAATATTGGAAAAACTTTTCTTCGAATCTTTTTAATTCAGGAAACAAATGATGAAATTCGTCATATTGCTTTCTCTTTTGATTTATAGGGTGAACCCAAAATCTTCTTTTTTTCTTAGCTTCCTTCTCTTCCTCGTCTTCTTCACACAACATGGCTAAAATAATAATTTCTTCCTCTGAACTACTCATTTTGAATACTTTTATGTTGCACGCTCTAGTAGTTGAGCCTTGACAACTGTACTTTTTTCGAAACTCTCGCTTATGTTGCTGGTCTGTGGCGGTAAAGTGTGCGATGTCATGCAGGATGCAGGTTTGTGCTGTGCTGGTCCGTACTGGTCCGTGTAGGTATAGTGTGCGCGATCTTTAAGTCCCAAAGCCTCGTATGCCCAGGTATGTGTGTTCAACATTTCTTGTAATTGTTGTAACGTGTTTGCAACTAGAGCGCAGTCATCAGCGTATTGAAGTTCTGTGATGAATTTTGTACGTGTTTTTGCCCTCAGTCTTTACCCATGGAAGTGGGTAAAAACTTAATATTATATTATCATGGTATATCTTAATATTATCATGGTAACTCTCTGATATTATCATGATAACGGCACCAAAAGGGATGCAAATACAGAAAAAATCCTTTAGCCCATGTTCGTGCTGCCCATGTTTAATCCTTAAACCCATGTTCTTACCTAACCTAATTAGGTTGTGATTTGGTTTTTTAAATAAATCAAATTTTTTAATTTTCAAACTTGAATAACTCGGTGGTTTTGGACTTATTTGAAAAACGACAAAGAGAAAATATGTTTCTTTTATGGATATCTCGATACCTACCAGCCCTGAAAATATTTGCACTTATTTAAGACTCTCCCTGTATACTGGCGATGTAATAAAGCTGTTGTACGTCATCTCTAACTAAGATAAAAAGAAAATGTGTTTCTTTCATCGAGACCATATTTGACATCGAGAAATATTTGCTCTTATTTAAGACTCACCCTGTACAGACTTAATTAAAATCACCCTGTATATATAAAAGTACATCCTGGTGTGTTTAGCAGATTATAAATATGTAAATTCAAATTAAATATAAAGTACTTTCAAGTTTCAGATTATAGAACCACAACATGGTAATTTGGCAAATAATTGGCAAAGCTGAAAAATCACTGTGCGTAAGCATATTAAAATGTATGAACAATTTTCACACTTTTTTATCGATAAATTATATACCGGGAGTATAGCAGCGTTTAATTTTGCTATGAATAAATATTAAAATGTGTGAAATAATCGACTAATCTTCAGTTACTTTATTAAATGCAATTTCTGCTACTTTTTTAGATGGTTAGGTGTAATATGTTAAAAACTTAGTTAGAGATGACGTACAACAGCTTTATTACATCGCCAGTATACAGGGAGAGTCTTAAATAAGTGCAAATATTTTCAGGGCTGGTAGGTATCGAGATATCCATAAAAGAAACATATTTTCTCTTTGTCGTTTTTCAAATAAGTCCAAAATAACCGAGTTATTCAAGTTTGGAAATTAAAAAAAATGATTTATTTTTTAAAAATTTGAGAGTGATAGCACCGGATTTTTGTTCTGTATAATTTGCAATTTGCATCCCTTTTAGTGTCGTAACTATGATAATGTCAGAGGTTAAGAAATTTTACCGTGGAAAAATTTGCCGTATACAGGGAGTTCTAAAAACCTTTCTAAAATATAGGTACAGGAAAATTTTAAAAAATGCATGATTTTTTTCAACATCTTTTTTTGAAAAAAAAAACTTATAGGCGTAATCCTGGATACTGAAGGCTTCTTCTTCTTTTCTTTTCACAGACACAAAATAAAGTAAACAAGGATGACTACACTGGAAGATATCACTCTGGGTGATATCACAGTTTAATCACACATCACAGTTTTATCGCAGTTGTGGTAATATCCTGTGACTTTGGTTAGGTCATCAAAAGTGATATGAGCGTAAACCCCACTATAGGTTAAAGATCTAAGAAAAAATGTCTCAAAAGACAGGAGCAAATGAATAATGACAAACAATATTTTATGGATGCAAAAAACTATATCACATTTATTTTCGTAGTAATCTCTTCATAAAATTATACAGAATTTCAGAAACCATTACAATACATTATCACATATTTATAAAGTTTAAATTATGCCATGCTTTGTTACCAGTTGCTTTGTAGTCAAAATTAAATACGATTGATTCATTGTGCGCAGTACAGCTTTAGGTGTTCTTCGGTACAAGATCTACTGCAACACTCGTCAACAATGCCTCTTTTTCTAACTTCTCGATTGATGGTTGACACGAGTGAATTGAAATTGGGACCGTATGATTCCATATCGTCCGATAGTGGATTGAAATGGTTTAAATAATCTTCGTACTTGTTGAATTTTAGAGGTATTCGCTTTGCTAGGAAGTTGTTGTCTGTAAGAAACAAGTACCTATGAAACTTTATATAACAAAATTTACTCATCAAAATTGTTAGAGAACTTTTTGAACTGGAACTTCTTTAGGCGCGTTGGGGGTAAAAATTCAAAGCCGTAATGCTCGGGCTGGCAAGAGGAAAAGTGATAGCGGCAGTGTTGCCACAGCTACTTGACAGCTAAACTTAATACTGTACCAACCTTGATGTGGTCATGCATATTTTCATCGATAGGTTTGTAGCTTCTGAATAACGGTCTAGGTAAAGCATCTAGCTCATTTGCCAGCTCAGAATTAGAATTTAGGAGTTAGTAACTCGCATTTTTATTGGAGGACACTGTCATATTTATTTCAGACCAAAAATCAACGCGAATACCTATTCGTATAATTTAATGAAATTACTGTAAATCACTATAAATAATGAATTATTTGTAACTGATTTAATTTCTGTATTATTAACCCAGTAAATGATGGAGATAAACAATTGTGAGTGATTAAAATTTTATTTTAAGATGAAACTTGAAACAATTCTGAGAATTCGAATACTGAATAATTGAATAATGACAAGACAAGTGATATCTGTCTAAAAATGACAGCGATTTAGGGTGTATTCCGTTGCTTACCTTGGTTATGGTTTTATATTCCATTTCTATAGGATTCCTGAAAGTTTTCTTATTACGGAACACGGTTCCTGAAAAATTCGGTTACAACTGTCACCAAACTAACCAGCGCGAGAAAGCTGGTTTTTCTGGTTTTGTTTGTCAATCAATGTCATTTATGTGACAGAAATCAAGCAAATATTGGAAGTTCGAGTGAAATTCTCATTTAATTTCTAAAATTTGTAATAATATTTTGTATTTACATCCAAAAGCAATGGAGGTAGGCAGTAAAGGTAAATAAATTTCATTAACTAAATAGAATTACTTTTAGGACCATTTAAACTTATCATGCAGCCGTTGTTTCTTAAAGTCAGGAACATTTCAAGAGAACATGAAAAACAGGACAAGTAATCGTAAATGTTTTGTAAGCTATAAAAATATAAATATTGATTAGATTTGTTTATTTATTATTGATCTATTTTAATATTGGACCTGCAAATCTTCACTTGAGCTGTCTAACGAGTTTAACAGTTTATTAATAAAGTACTTTTTAATATTAAACTCAATTGAAAAGAAGAAGCAAACGTAAAAGCATAGAATAGGTACATTAAAAATGCATAAAAGGTAAATTTTAAAATAAAGGTATTGAAATTTAGAAAACGTCAACATTTGACGTTTCCAGTATTTTACCCAAACCATATGACCCAAACCGTTCCGTATCAAACCCATGTTTTTCAGGAACCGCTCTTTGCCATAGTTTACCGGTCTGGTTCGCCTGGTTTTGCAACGGAATACAACCTTAGAGTAATAATTTGGTTATGTAAAATTTAGAGTGGCAATTTTGATTATGCAAAAGAAATACCTAAATATTCTATGGGTTTACTGGTTACCTAACGATGAACATTAATTTAAAAATAAATCCCCAACATGAATAATGAACCAAAAATTTAAACAAAAACAGACCACAGACCACACAAAACAAATTGTTGGTTAGTAACAGTTAGTAGTCAGAAATATAGATAGTAGAGAATTATCGTTTTTTAATAAAAATTAAAAAATCATTATAAAATTATAAAGCTAGAATAGTATACGGTTTTATATTAACTCTAATTTTTTTGAAGTTTATAAAAAAAGCATTCATAAAAAAATATTTGTTCTTCAAATCCTTCAATTTAATAGTTGTTAGTAAGAAGTTTCACTTAAATATGCGCACAATTTTTTAATACAGGTAGCTGTTATTTTTTAACTACTCCAAGATATTTATATTGAATTGAATTCAATCAACTCAAAATTATGGTACCTTATAAAAATTAACCAGTGGAAAACTTTAAGCGGAACTCAATGACTTGGAAGACTCCATCCGTAATCTGGAATGGGAATCCTCCAACGGTCTAAGACACTCCAAGAAATTTCTCAGAACTTACGACCGAGAAAAATCAAAGATTTTCGTCGATTTACTTAAAAACAATCTTCGGATCGTCACGAGATTTTTAACAGGACACTGTCTCCTCAACGAACACCTCAGTAGATTGAAGCTAAGAAACATCGGCAAAAGCAGATTCTGTGGGGAAAATGGGGAAACAGTGGAAACACCAGAACACTTTATCAATGAGTACGCCGAGACGACGAAAATTCATGCCATAAACTTGACTGATATCAGAGAATGGAGAACTAGCTGCTGTGAAATCGTCTCAGATACTGGCTTGTGTGAAAAGTATTTGCACCCGATATACTTTGGATTAATTTTAAGTTTCTCCGAAAAGTATAAAATTGGGTTTTAAAACTTACCAAATTTTTTAGACGGTTGAAAGTACAATTTATCGCAAACTAGCTCCAAAATAGCATCCAACTTATCCCCACAATAACGTCTAGACTCAGATGGAGCAGTATTCGAGACATAAATGCAAGAGAATAAAACTACCAGCACCAGAGTAACTTTCATTCTGCCCTTTCTAACTAAAGTCAGACTCTTTCTAAGAAAATAACCTTGACGAAAGATAGAATGAAAGTGAATGTAACAAAAACATTTCCGGGCTTCTTATATATTTGGATCCCGGAAAATATCCAGGTTGATATATGAATATTGATGAAGGTGTTATCCATTCGTCAAGAAATAATTTCAAGAGACATTTTTGACGTTTGGAAGGTCAGGTGCAAAGGCGTCTTAATTTTAGATCCCTGCAAACATTCAAAACACTTATTGGCCCTGTCGATATAGGAGAGGAGATGGGGATATTTTTGGAATTAAGAAGTGTTTCACCTACGGTAAACAAGTCGCTAATACATAGGGACAAAATTCGGTAGAGCAAACTACAGAATGAGTTACTTTTTTGCCATTGCTTATATTGTGAATAATACGGAATACGGTTCCTAAGAAATATCGGTCATTATTGTCACCCATTGAATAAAAATCAGTAACTTTTTCACATTTGACATAAAGAAATGGGTTTTACCTTTGAATAAGAAGACTAAGGAAGGAGCATATCAAACATCTTAGGTACACTGCGATGGGCCTCAAATATGGCCGACTTAAATTCCGGTTTATCAGTGTCGTTCTAATTTTATTTAAAAAATGTAAAACTATGATGTAGGGTAGACGTGGGGTAGACTCAATAATTTGTTGTTTTATTTTACGTTGTGAATAAATCTTGGTAGTTATTAAAATTGTTATAAAAATATATAATTCTAATAAAAATAGATAAGTTATAATAAGTATTTATTAACACAAACATCCGATACGCTACTGAAGCAGGTAAGTCAAATTAACGTATCTAAATTCTTTGACATCTAATCTTTGACAAGTAATAAATAAAAGTTAAAATGCAAGAAAAATATATAATTTAGTTAATTTAAGTGAATTTCATAAATGATCGGTTTACTACACGTATGTATATTATATAGTCACTTACTAGCGAAAAGTTGTTCCATTATTTCACTCAATTTTTGCCGAGATCTACCGCACGCTACACAACCAAAACTATTTTAGAATCTTTTTCGATAAATCGCGATAGTGTCACTGTTAATTTAAGTTCTGCCACAATTTCCATCTAGATTTACTACCTTTATACAACTATCAGTAGTAGAATAAATAATAAATAACATAAAATAAGCTCTGTAAAGACTGACAAATCCACAAAATTTCAAATCAAATTCAAATGTGTCAAATGAATCGTCAAACAGAACTGTCAAGGATCCCCACCCTAGAGTGCTTTTATGGTGCTTTTTCCGCCCACCATGCATGAATACATGGATAGCATTATGCTTCTTCCTTAGTCTTCTTATTCAAAGGGTTTTACGATGAAAGTAAATTTAAATTTATAAATGTAGCGGTATGTATAAAATAGACTAACTAAATCTTATAGCTTCCATTTTTATATAAATCAATATGTCGAAAGAAAAATTAGTCTCTACCGGGTGCTGGTGCATCGTCGTTGAAAACAGAAAATTCCATGCAACCCGCCAAGTCGAGTACAGCCGTACCATCCTTTTCTCGAAGGTATTAACGGCACTTTTGACCACCCTGTAACTTCGTTGAGGATAAAGCAAAAAAATTAATTTTCACTAAACAGGAGGACATACCTACTATAGCTGGCTAGATTACGAAAATATCTAGTAATTATACCTCATAGTTTATGGATTATTTGTTGTCAATTTTTTTTAATTTCGACATTGACTCACTGACACATCACCAAAATTCTAAGGTACTTCTAGATGTGTCACAAACTCCAAATTTTGAATTTTAGATAGCTTTATACTTATAACCAAAAGAAAAAAAGGAAAATCTCGAAATATCTTTATGGAATAAAAGTTAGCTGTCTAGCCTCTACCAGTAACTGACTTTCCAGTTCAGAAAAAGGTAGAAAACTAGAACCTATCGAAGCGGTGTCTTCTGATTTTATTTATATATGAATGTTACAACAATAACTCAAGGATTATGAATTAGTGCCACTCAAACTTCTTTGACTTCGACAGTGACTCACTCACCGCAATCAAAATTCTAAGGTACTTCTAGATGTGTCACAAACTTCAAATTTTGAATTTTAAGTAGCTTTAAACTTGTAACCAACGGATAAAATGAAAAATCTCAAAATATTCTTATGGATTAAAAGTTAGATGTCTACCCGCTACTGGTAAGTGACTTTCCGGCTATGGTAATAGGAGAACCGGCTATAGGATTGTTTTGCAAATGTGGGTTTTTATATAAAGGCACCTGGTCCATCTATCTAAAATATTATCAGTGTTACAGTGTTGCCGGATCATTTGAAAAGTGGTAGCATATTTGTTATTTTAAATGGAAACGGCACCATAATTAAAAAAGAATAATCTACCATTTCGATTACTAAGTAAATCTAAACAGTGCCCTTAAGAATAAAGTTTTTTTTAATTAGCAGAGAATATAATATCGGGCAATTGCCAAATCGTTATTATTATTACAGAAATAAAGATGTCTAATATTGATACTAACAATTTGTAACGAAATTGTTGAATACGTGCTTAAAGGGAAACTAAATAAAAATAAACTGACTTATAAAAAGATCTCGCAACCTTTTATAATGAAAGAATTGTATTGCGATACTTGGCATTTTTTGCGTTCTATGTTTTTGATGGGATTAATTTTACAGCGAAGTCGTAAATGTTTTTTAAAGATCGGCTTATACTGAATACACATGCCAAATTTGAACAATTTTAGCCAAGCCAATTTTAAGTAATTTATGCTAACTACACTATTTTTAAATTAAAACTGAACAGGTAACAATGGAAAACCAGTCAAATGTCAAAATACCTTAAGTTGTCAACCTATAATTTTATCATTGTTGAATGTAATTTGAATTTTGAATGCAGCAAAAACCTAACGTTTGGAAAATACAATTTGACATTGACAAAATTATAGGTCTACAGCTTAAGGTACGTTGACATTTGCCTGGTTTTGAAATGTTACCTGTCCAGTTTTAATTTAAAAATAAATGCAGTTTTTCTTAAATTAGTTAAAAACGACTTGTTCAAAATTGTTCGAATTTGGCATGCGTATTCAGCATACGCAGACCTTTTAAAATCCTATTTTCAACTTCGCTGTAGAATTACCAGGGAGTCAATATTTGGACAGTTATGTTTTCAAGACGATGCACTACCCGGTATATTGATCTGTTACAACTAAGCAGAGATAGAGTATTAGAGATTTTTCTAATCATACTTACCAGATTTTTTAGACGGTGAATAATATTGATTATTACAAAGTATCTCTAAAAATGTGTCTAAAGCCGGACCACAGTAATGTTTGGCTTGCAATGGTACAGTACTTGACATAAAAAAGCAACAAAATAAAACTGCAAAAACCAACGTAGGTTTCATCTTTCTTATACTATAATAAACCAAACGATTTGGAGGTTTGAACTAAAGTGGTGTATGGACAACATCTTCGTCACTTTATATATCGATATTTTGAGGAAAATAAAATATTATATGAATATTAATGAAAAGATCACACGTCAAGAAAATAATTTTGGAAGACGGTTGAAAATTTTCGAAGGGCAAAATAGGGCAGCATAGGTAATATACGTCACGTCTGTAGGTAGCAAGGGCCTTGTACTTTAACTTCGTTAAGAATGAGAAAATAGACGGTCGTCAACAAGAAACAAATAGAACGTCAATCATGGTTGATGCCTAGACAAATTAACTTAAGAGACTAACGACTAAATGCATGATTAATAATTAATAATGTTAATAATGTATATGCCTATGCCTTTGAACTAAATACAGCCAGCAATAAAGTGGGTCTCAAAATGAATTTATCAAAAACTAAAGTAATACACAACGAACTAGTGGAAAGAAGAAACATTCTAACAAATAACACAGCACTGGAAATAGTAGAAGAATATATATATTTGGGACAATACACAGCTCGGAATTTCTACTACCAGAAATCTCAACAGAAGAGTTAAGTTAGCATGGAGTACTTATGGAAGAAACTCAATCAAATTCAAATCTAGAATGCTGCTCTATCTAAAGAAGAAAACATTCGACCAATGTGTACTACAGGTCATAGCCTATACATGCGAAACCTGGACATTTAAAAAGGACATCATGAGGAAACTGCAGGTCGCACAACGCTCAATGGAACAAAATATGCTGGGAATAACCAAGAGAGACCGTAAAAGAATAGAGTAGATACGACAAAACAAGTGTCCTCAAGTGGTCCCTCAATAGGCAGGACACCTGGCAAGAAAAATAGACAACAGATGGGCCACAACAATTACAGCACGGTATCCACGAGGGATTAAGAGACCTAGAAGAAGACCGAACCTGAGATGGGACCATGATATTAGGAAATTAGCAGGGATAACTTGGACCCGCATAGCCTACAATAGACAACAATAAAGCCAATAGGCCCAAATACAAAGAAAGTATGTGAAGGAGGCTACACCATAATTGGAAATGGTTGAATAAGCTGAAAATGATTATGATGATGCCGTAATGATGATGATGTGGTAATACATTAACAGGTAACAATGCAAAACCAGGCAACTGTCAACATACGTTAAGTTGACAGTCAAATGATTTTAATGTTAAATAAAATTTGTTGTACTGTCTACAATACTACGTTATAGTACATATACGGCTAGTATGTAGTGTGACAGAAATACATTTTTGTAATTTAAAACTTTTTTTTTAACGTTTAAGGAAATACAATTTTACATTGATAAAATCATAGGATGACAACTTATATTATGTTGGTATTTGCTTGGTTTTGCATTGTTGCCTGTTTTAACTTAAAAATACATGCAGTTTTTCTTAAATTAGTTAAAATCGGCTTGTCCAAAATTATTTAAATTTGCAGACTGCATACGCAGACTTTTAAAAAACGTATTAACGACTTGGCTGTAAAATCAACATGGGAGGCAATATTTGGATAGTTCGTAATAGAAATTTGTATAAAATTTCCTATGTTTCCAACCATGATGTAGAATGTAGAATGTTTAGGAGGGTAGT